CACGACGGCCCCAGAAGGCCTCCCAGAGGCCCCGAGACGGCTCCGGAAGACACCCGGATCCTGCACGACGGCCCTTAAAGGTTTCCGCACAGAGCCCCAGGAAACCAAAATCGTCAAATTCCATTGGGAAAACGTACATTTTGGGCATGTGCGCGTTTTCGCATCCCAAAGCTCCACGACGGCCCAAGACGCTTCATACGCCGCCCCAAGACGGCCAAACAGGACTCTAAGAGGCTCCCACGACGGCCCACGAGGGCATCCCAGGGGCCCTGACACGGCTCCGGAACGCACCCGCAGAGTCCCGAAACGGCGCCGGAGTTCTGACAGACCACGAACACGGCCCTAGAGACCTCCAAGATCCCGTGAGACGGCCCCCAAAGCCTTCCGCACAGAGCCCCGGGGAGCCAAAAGCGTCAAGCTCCCATGGGGAAACGTACATGTCGGGCCTGTCCGATTTTTCGCACCCCGAGGCTCCAAGACGGCCCAAGACGCTTCATAGACCGCCCCAGCAGAACCCGAAGAGGCTCCCACGACGGTCCACGAGGGCTCGGGCGAAGAGAACTATGCACATGCACCGATCCTGACAACGTTTGTTCTTGACCCTGGATCGGTGCATATACCTTCCTGGCCAAGGTAGGAGGGCGTATGCACCAATCCTGGGCTCAGGATGGGCCAAGCCAGAATCGGTGTATGTGCATAGCTCTCTGTCCTCTGAGGGCATCCCAGAGGCCATGAAACGGCTCCGGAAGACGCCCGCAGAGGCCCGAAACGGCGCCGGATCTTCCGAGAGACCGCAAACACGGCTTAAGAGACCTCCAAGATCTTGCACGACGGCCCCCAAAGCCTTCCGCACAGAGCCCCAGGAAGCCAACATCGTCAAGTTTCCGTCGGAAAGCGTACATTTTGGCCTTGTACGAGTTTTCGCATCCCGATGCTCCACGAGATTCGCGATCTACACAGGGAATGGCACCTCGCTCGTGCTCTGCCACCGTGCTGGAACCTGACGCTGGCGCCCGCAAGCAACGCCTCTCAGAAGCGGGCCCGCACGGCGTGAAGGACGCTTGCACCCAGCGGCCAGCGCCGCCGACCCGCAACCGCAGACGACGCCAACGACGCAAACGAGACGCCGACGACGACGACGACGACGACGACGACGACGACGACGACAACGACGAGACGACGACGACGACGCCAGCGACGACCACGGCAACCCAGACGACGACGACAACGATGACAATGACGCCGCCCGCGACAACGACACTGCAGACGACCACGACGACGACGCTTCGCAAAACCACGGCGCCGACAACGACGGCGATGGCGACGCCAACGCCGAAGAACACGCCGACGCCGCCGCCGCCGACGCCGACGGTTACGACGATGACGGCACCGACGACTGCGACGGCGCAACTCCGTGGATTTAATCCACGGGTCCACACTAGTATATATATATATATATATATATATATATGTATGTATGTCTTGTATTGCCCAAGTATCCCACAATAGTCTTTCTTCAAATAACCCTCCTGCAGGTCCCGCGAGACAAAGAGTACCGCAGCATAGATAGATATGCTTGGCAGCGCGTGCCGCCTCCCATGCGCTCCCGCTTGCTTCAGGAGAACGCCAGAGGCGCCAAGGCGGTGCCTGAGAGCATCGCCACGCTGTGAAGACGATCCGAGACCGTCTTGAGACGGCTCGAGCGAGTACTTTCCAACTGGGGAGTTCGGTTCAGCCATCGCGCCCAAAACAGCACCAAGGCCCCCAGCAGTCGCCGTTCAGGATAGATGTGTTGGGCGTGCTCCGTGTATGGAGGGGGTGCGGGAGAGCAGCAACAGGAAAAGGAAGATGAGTAGGAGTAGGAGGAGGAGGAGGAGGAGGAGGAGGACGGGCAGGAAAAACATGCCGACTTAGCGGAGCCAACAACAAACTATTTTGGCGGGCGCAGAGCCAGGTATTGCAAGAAGATCAGAAAAAGCAGAGGGCCTGAGAGTATTCGTCCGCCAGGGGATAAGACGAATGCGGAAACGCCTGGTGTTACCATGGTGCCCTTCCAACCACGACAGAAACAACAACACGCCCTGGGTAACGTCAAACTGGACGGGCAGGAGTAGGACGGAGGTGGAGGAGTATTGAGAGAAGGAGGAGGAGGAGGTGGAGGAGGCGGAGGAGGAGGAGGAGGAGGAGAGAGTAGAGGGGGGAGAAGGAGGATAAGTTGGAAGGGGAGGAGAACGAGGTGGAGGAGGACGGGCAGTAGGATCGAGAGTAGCAACACAATCTGCCAAAGTAGGAGCGCGAGGATGATCGGGAGAAAAATGACGACGAGGGGGGAAGTAAGGATCGACTCAGATCGGACATGCTGGGGACGATCTCGAGCTCCCGCTCAGAGGCTTGTCTGCACAAGCGACTCGAACACGAGCACTCCTCCCTGCGTCGGCCAGCAGACCGAGCGCAGCATCCAAAGTCCAAAGCGGGCCCCCTGCTCGGCGGAGAGCCCCCCTTATCGGGCCCCGAGGCGAGCCCCAGAGGGAGGCGTGGCCCTCCACGGGGTGCCTGCGGGCACCAGCTCGAGCGAGCTAGCGGCGCCCTCGTGCCCTGGCCGCCCCGCTACGGGGGCGGCCGACCGTCAGGTGCGTCGACGGA